TACTGGACTATGCTTAAGAAAACAAAAGTAACAGAACCAAAAGAGAAAATATTTGCTAAATACAAGACAAAAACAAAAGGTGATTTTTATTTTTAGTAATTATTCACTGACCAGCACCTGTGGATGACATTGTTTCTAGATTTGATAGCAATGTGGAAAGCAAGGCCACATTCTGCCCCTCATTGAGGACCCATCTACCAGGCCTACCCGAACACGCAAGAGAAAAGCAGGCAGAAGAATGAATGAGGGCAGAAATACAAAGGTCAATAAAGAGATGAAAGAATTTGGTAATAAAAAATGCAAATTAGAGCAGAATTTTCTTCATTTCTTTTTTTTCCTTCCAAATTGGCAGAACTATCAAGTTTTGTGAAGGGGACCATGAGTTGCATCTAGCTTTGGTGATGGTAAGCCCCAGGCTCTCCTAAATTGGATACGCTCTCAAGATGCTAAAATGGCTGTAATCCTAGCTATTTCAGGAGGCTCAGATCTGAGGATAGGTGTTTGAAGCCAGCCTGGGCGGGAAAGTTTGTGAGATCTTTATTTCCTATTAACCAGCAAAAAGCCAGAAAGAAGGTGTAGCTCAAGCGGTAGAGCACCAGTCTTGGGTGGAGACACAGTCAGCACTCAGAGCCTGAGTTCAAGCCCAGGATCCACACCCACACAAAAATCAAACCAACAAAATGCTAAAATGCATATTCTTAAGTTCCACACTAGAGATTCTGAATCCATCTACCAGAAAGTTCATACAACTCTCACAGGGAAGTTCAATGCAGAGGCCATTGACCAGGGGTGAGGCTAGACTTCAAGAGGGGCAAATGCAAATGATCCTGGGAATGGGACCACCCACCCACCCACCTGCCAGTCACACTCCAAATATCTCCTTCCATTGGATTAGAGTAATTGATAGAATGATTTCCCATGGAAGACACACAGGTATCAAGTCATACTGGCTATTGGTGGGCTTTGAGTTGGGGTCACACACAGTTCAACTTGTATAATATTTATACTCTCTGGCCCAGCAATCCAACTTTTTTTTTTAAAGTTTTATCCTAAGGGCACAATCTGGTTTGAGTCAAAAGATTGATAGGATTGCAGAAATTATCTGAGAGTTCTGAATAAATAAGAAGAGGATGAAGTTGCTCTTAATAACTTTTCCTTAAGATGCTGGCCATGGGTAGAGAGCAGGAGAGGAAAGCACTCTGTGGCCCACATAGTCAGACTTTGTTTTGCAAATGTTTGCTGGTTACCATGACAACCTCTGGACTTCTCTGTAAATGGGAAACTGGGAATCTTGTTTTTTTTTTTTTTTCCTGTTTTTGTTATTTTTCCCAAAACATGTTTAGTGTGTTCTTTTTATCCTGGTAAGCTCCTTCTGTGCTGACAAATTACATTCTGACAGCTAGGTTGTAATCCAAAACATGCTTTCTTTTAAGTATGTGAATAATAAAGAAGAATTTCCAGGAGGTGACAGTTATTCCCCATTTATAATTTTATGCATGTGCGTTTACTTTCACTGTATCCAAGAGATAAACAGAAGTGCTAAATACTTGGAATACTTCGAAAATAATTTGGAAAACACAGCCTCATTTGAAATACTCGACAAATGTCAGTTTGATTAATGTACTCATGGTATAAAGAACGGACATAAAGTTCTGAATCAGTTGGTCGTGGGACAGCACTGTTGGCTATAGAGCTAGGGCAAGAAGCCCAGCTCTTTCTGCCCCTGTTTCCACCAATAAAGTAAGAATCAGGAAGTGGCCAGGCGCCGGTGGCTCATGCCTGTAATCCTAACTACTCAGGCAGCTGAGATCTGAGGACTGCAGTTCAAAGCCAGCCTGGGCAAGAAAGTTGGTGAGACTCTTATCTCCAATTAACCACCAGAAAAACGGAAGTGGCATTGTGGTTCAAGTGGTAGAGTGCTGGCTTTGAAGAGTGCTTGAAATGAAGAGCTCAGGGACAGTGAGCGGCCAGGCTTAGAGTTTAAGCCCCATGACCCACCAAAAAAAAAAAAGAACAGGAAGTGTGTGTGTGTGTGTGTATGTGTGTGCACACGTGCTTATGTATATATAAGCATCTGTATGTATACATCACATATATAACATATGATTATACATGTGTGTGATATATGTCCATACCATACAATATATTCTATGTGATATGTGTATATGCACATATATGCATACATGTATGATATAAACAATTCCAAGTCTATTGAGTAGGCTCTCAGTGCAGTATGGAACCTACTGGTACCAAATTTAAAAAAAAAGTAAAAGCAGAAACAAAAATATCCAAAACCTGCCAGACTTGGTTTAAAAATAACCAAGCTTCACATAGGAAAAAAATGAATAAGTTAAACAAAAGTTAATGCATTAACTGGCACTATTAGTTGGACTTCTTCAAGTTTCAGTTTTTTAGGACACTATTATTAGACACATTCATCAGTAATAGGAAAAGACTTAGAATTGCAAGTGGAAAATATGACAGGTGAGGTTCACAAAGGCAGTTTCTCAGAACTTTACACAACAGCCTGAAATACTGCACGGAGTCAGCTGAATTTAATGTGTACTTCTGCAACAGCAAATGGCCAAGCTTTGAATCTACTAGAGATCACAGAGAGACAAGGCCAGGAGCCTTCTACAGGCCACTGCAGTTGAGGGCTGAGACGGGCAAAGTTGTGGCCTCTTCTCCAGAGGCAGTCACTTCTGGAGGAAGGGCAGTGTCAGGGCAGGGAGTCATTTTCCAATAACACTTATGAATCTATGGTTTCTTCATATGGCAGATCTATAATCTGTTCTCGTTTTTGTTGGTACTGGGGTTTGAACTCAGGGCCTCACTCTGCTGCTTGAGTCACACTCTAGCCCCATATTCCCTATCTCTTGGTTTGCAAATGAAAGAATGACAGGATTCTGCTTATGTTAAGCCTTTCAGCATTTGTTTGTACTCATTCGTGTGTGTGTGTGTGTGTGTGTGTGTGTGTGTGTGTGTGTGTGTGTGTGTGTGTGTGTGTGTGTGTGTGGACCTGGGGCTTGAACTTGGCCTGGGAACTGTCCCTGACCTCAAAGGCTGGTGCTCTACTACTTGAGTCACAGTGCCAGTTCTGGCCTTACTTCCCTGCCCATGGTGGCTTTGAACTATGATCCTCAGAGCTCAGCCTCCTGAGTAGCCAGGATTAAGGCATGAGCCAGTGGCACCTGACAGTTTGCCCTAATTCATAATGTGCTTTTATCTTTAACCATCACCTACTATGACAAATAAGTGCATCAACGATCACACAGCAAGATGTGGAAATCCTGAGCAAATAGAAAAATACAGCACAGCAAAATAAGACTTCTGAAATTTAAAAAGCCCATGTAAACATCTTTCAAATGAAAGATGCAATTTGACACTCCCTAATCTGTATTACATGTGGCACCCAAACCGGAGCTAGAGAAGTGGTCCAGTGTGTTGAAAAAGTATTAAGTTAATAAACAAGAACTCAAAAGAAGGGTTTTGATGCAGTGACATGTCGCCACCCAGCTTTCCATTCTGCACCCAACGCAGTGTTACAGGGTGAGACAGGGCAGGTGAAGGTCATGCAGAGGAGGCTGGCCACAGACCACTTCCCCTCTGGGTATACTAGTCTCTCATTCCACTTGCTATCAGCCACACGGTGACATGTATCTCTAGGAGCAGGCTATAAGAGAGAAATTGCAGCCTGGTGATGGTGACTCATACCTGTAATCCTGGCTACTCAGGAGACTGACATTTGAGGATCACAGTTCAAAGTCAGCCTGGGCAGGAAAGTCCGTGAGCTAAGAATCTTCAATGAACCGCCAGAAAACTTGAAGTGGTGCTATGGCTCGAAGTGGTAGAGCACTAGCTTGAGCGGAAAAGCTCAGGGACAGAGCCCGGGCCCTGAATTCGAGTCCCATGACTGACAAGGGAGGGAGGGAGGGAAAGAGGGAGACAGAGAGAGACAGAGAGACAGAGACAGAGACAGAGAGACAGAGAGACAGAGAGAAATTGCCAGTGATGACCAGAATCTCCCCACTGGGGTCCTGATCTCAGACCTCTCACCATCAATACGACTCCCCCATTCCTTTCCCCTCAGAGTGGCTGAAGGAAAACTTCATGACACTGCACCTCTGATCAGCAGATGGTTAAGGTTTGGGCCAATCCCGGCTCCTGCCTCTCCTTCCCAGATCAAATGAAGGAACTCAGTTAAGTGTGACTGTCAGACAAACAATGGATGATTTTTGGCATAGCCAGATACTGCAGTAAGACACACGTGTCATCTGTAAACACACAGAGCTTGTCCTGTGTTCTCAGTGTTGTTCTGAATTCCTTACAAATATCAATGCACCAATGATTGGAAATGAAAATATGTGGGCATGCCAATGTGCGACTGGTCTGGGGTTAGGAAGAATGAATTGTGTATTTTTTAAATTTCAAAGGTTGTGCAAGACTTTTGTTACAATGAGGATACATTATGGGTTGCCACTGATTAGCTGCAAGGCAATTTGTATTCAACTGAAAAGGAAAACTAAAAGGCAGAAGACGGAATAAAGTAGAAAGAGCAGTAGGCTGAGAATCCTAAGGTCTAGATTTCAGTCACTGTGTACTAATTACATGACTTTATAGGAAAGCGTCCTGACTTCTGAGTCTAAGCTTTCTTGTCTGCAACAGGAGGTCTGAAAAAATGTTTTCTTCCTTCCTTCCTTCCTTCCTCTCCCTTCCTCTTTCTTCCTTCCTCCCTCCCTCACCCTTCCTTCCTTCCTTCCTTGTTTCCTTTCTTTTCTTTCTTTCCTTCGAGATAGAGTCTTGTTATGTAACCCGCGCTGGCTGGAACTTACCATTTTCCTGCCTCAGCCTTCCAAGGACTGAGACTCCAGGTGTGTGCCCCAACACTCAGCCCTAGATGAGCTCACCTGTGAGGTCCCCACTGCCTTCAAGATTCTATCCAGTGTCATGAGGTTAGCAACTAGAGAAGCATTTTTCTCTCATGGAGAGAAGTTCCTTACCTCTGCAATCATTCTGTTGGTGTCCCCCAAGAAGAGCAAATTCAGAGCTTCTTCCTCGGTAGTTGCCTGGTGGAGTGACAGGTTTTTCAGGTGGATGTTCTGGTCTGGGTCTTCCAAGATTGTTACTTTCCTAGGGACATGGGAAGCAATCAGACAAGGAACTGTTGAGAAGATAAAGAACTTCAGGGTTTCTTACAGGTCAATTTTTATTTTTTTTTAAATGACACTGTAAGATGTCTTGAGCGTGTAAAATGGAATACCACACAAGATACCAGCAGCCCTGGATTAAGATCAAACACAGATGTTCCCTAGAGAGTATTACCAACTAGCCTTGAGGCTGAAAATACATCACATGATTCTGAGTTAAAGCCACCTGCCACCGTAGATCACTGCCACTGTCAGATCGTCAAGCCGCCTTAACATGCATATTTCTTACTGAGTTAAAGATGCAGATGGTACTTTCCTACCTAGCTATCAGGAAATGGATTGTAGTGGGGTTTTGTCATAATTCGGTTTCGTACATGGGTTATACACTGATCCTTGTGTTGCATTTCTTATCACTTTTAATTGGCGGGACACTTCAAAGCTCATCAGCTTAGACAAGATAAGAAGTGGGGCCTCTGCCATGCCTTTAGGAGTTGTTTTTTTTTTTTTCTCCTGTGTAGTTTTATCATGAACGTAAGTAAAACAACAACAACAACAAAAACCCCAAAACCAAAAAGCACAACTCTTGCAAAGGCTAATGATCAGGACTGAGTGTGCTGTTGTTTTCATTCCTGTCAGATCTGTTTCTCGAGCCTTTTCCCTTTTCCTGCTGTTCCATCCTTCCAGTCGGAGAGGTAGATCTGGAATTGCACTCATCTGCTACAGTGTTTACCTTAATGGACATTCTGGGGCCGGCAACATTTCCTCCCAGGTGAGTCCTAAGCCTGTTTCCTGAGCTGGCTGTGTTGGTGTTCTCCTTTCAGTCCTTTTAGGACATCCTGAAACCACACAGAATGCCGTCGGCATCACCAGGCTCTGCTCCACAGGCCTCCAGATGGCAGCCCTGACGTCACCACACTTTCCTTCTTGAGTGTTTGACTTCTTAATTTTCAAAGAACTGTTACAGAAGGGAAGGTTTTTTGTTTTGTTTTGTTGTTTTGCTTTTTGTTCACCGATATTGCCCAAGAGTATCGCTGGCTTAAGTAAAACATTTGGAGTCGATAGTGATTAGAAAAGGTGGGCATCAACCAGCACAACTTCAGAAGAAAAGCAAATGGACATGTGTTAGTTTTCTCCTTAGAAAAACTTAGTTAGGATAGCTACACAATGAAGATTCCCCCCCCCCCCCAATACTCTAATGTTGGCATCCTTCTGTTTTGCAAGGAGTTACCTAGCCTTTCATCTGTAATTTGTGAGCACTTAAAACACTAATTGCTGTAAGAAAATGTTGCTCTTCCAGCTCAGCTGTGATCAATGTGTCACTAATAATGACACATTTGCTGAATTCAGGGCTCCTTTTTGTCTCCTTCAACAATGCCCACAGAGATGGAAAACAAGTGCAATTTATTTATTTTTAAAGAAGACTCATAAGTGAGCTTATTTAAAATGCTTAAGAGTTCAGAAAAAATGTTTGGAAAATATGAAGGCATTTTTAATTGAAATGGATGAGTTAGGTTCTATTTTTAGGAAACTCCTTTATTTCTTTAAAAGTCATTTCCATCCTGATCCTTCTGAAGTGCCCCAAAAAAACGTTTGGCTCAATGAAATCCCCGGGCACATAGAAGTCCAAATCCTTTCTCAATCCACAAATTGAGGGTCTGAATATTTTCCCCTGTTAATGGTAAAAGACATCAAGTGCTATTGGATGATAAAAAACAAAACACGAGATAAATGATACAGTGAGGACACTAACCGTGACAAAGGAAGAGAGTTCTGTCTTTTTTTAGCATGAAGTCAAAGAATTCTCAACTCTGGAGCCAAGTCAGCTATGGTACATGTTGGGAGATCCAGACAGACGTAATAGCTTCTCACATGCAAGTTCAGAGCAGGAAGGGGGCTCAGCAGGAACTAACCTCAGCCCCAACCTGAAGCTGAGCCCTAAGAAAAGAGGCTGGTGCTCAGCCACTGGGCTACATTTGATAACTGTATTGTCTCATGTTGTCCATGTTCCACAGGCACTACCTTAACACACACACACACACACACACACACACACACACACACACACACTCCCTAAGACTTGACTGGCCTGTGGCACTGTCTAGGTGTCAGATTTTGTAAAAGGCTCCAGGTGATTCTGGCTTGTCACCAAGTCTTAGGGATACTTTCTTCATCTTTAATGACTACGAAGGTAGACACCTAGGGAGGAGGTTTCTGGTTTCTTTGTCTTCCTTTCTTCCCATCTCATCTCAGACCTGAAGGAAGAGGTTACTAATGTCACTGGTCAGGGGGGAAGGCACAGAGGCGCTGCACCTATGGAGAACAAAGGTACTGGAACTATAAGACGCCCGTCTTTCTGCAGGAAGCTCACCTCTCATTGACTGTGCTGCTGGCTGGTGGGCCCATAGCTAGGGACTTAGGATCTAACTAAACCCCCACGAGGTTCCATGGGGTTTCATATAATTGCAAGATTAAAACAATGCTTGTAACAGGAAGGACCTGTCATATTTCTAGCTACTGCCTTACTGAACATAGAAAGAGGAGAAACTGAGCAAAAATGGAATGCTAACTATGTGATCAATTGTTGGTCAACCTAAGCAGGTAACTGATCAAGGATGGTATTAACGTAGAATACTTACAGGCATAGGTGGAACACGCTTGCTACGCAGCACCAACAGCTTTTGGTGAGCCTACTTTTTTTTTCTCCTACAGCTATGGCTGCTGCAGAACACATTTGCATCTAGGTATTTGCCCAGCTGTGTCATTTAGATCGAAATACAATTTTTTTTATTCACATGCACCTAGCTTTTCTTCATGTAACTTTTAACTGTCTTTGGTAACCCAACTGTATGAATTTGTAATCCATGTTTTTCTCACTATTATCTGATTTCTTGTCTCTGGGGGTTTTAGACAAGTAAATAAAGTGGGGGTGGGGTGGGGAGGGAATTACGTTTAAACGTGTCTGCCTTCTCTGATATGTCTTTTTCTGCTAGGTACTCATTGTGGACACCCTGGGTCCGTTGGAATGTTGGGGAGCCCGTGTTCAGGGTGGGGAGGGCTCTTTCATTGTTGGCTTCCATTAATTGAGAGTAAGAACTTGGCTATTGTTCTTCCTATGTCTTCCAGTAAGCTAAAAAGAGCCTACAAATTCCTACCACGTAGCCAAATGGAAAAGATTCTCTGTTTACAGAGAAAACACAAAGCTTGTTTCTTCCCCATCATTAAGCAGGCTGGGTATACTTAACAGAACTTTTCCACTTACATATCCAAGTCGGGGCTATCAGTGATTTTTTTTTTTTTTTTGCTTGAAATCTAAACATTTTAGAAACATTTTGTAGGGAAAACTATTCACAGGCCCATTCAAAAAGAATCAAATAAATAGTTTGGTGGGTTTCCATCTTGGAAGTAGGATGTTTATATAAGAAACGCTAATAAAGCTTTCTTTCAAGCCCATAAAAATTATAGTCAGAACCAAGTGGTGGACTCAGAACTCAGGAAATAGTTACTGATGTGCTAGAGGGAGAGGGAGAGAAGGGGCCAAGGAAGAAAGCAACTTGAGGAGAGAGACTTTTACGGATGGTTCTTACTTTCTCCAGCTTTGAAACAAAAAAAAAAAAATGATCCCATTGTAACAGAGCTTGAAACACTCTCACTGTAAGGAGCTGTAGCTAGGGCCCAGCTCAGACGCAGCTTCTAGAACAAAATGCGAGGGTGGGGCAGACACATGGCTGTAAGATTTTGTGCAAAGGGGAAACCCACAGCCTGGCAGAACCCTAGCCAAGTTCTCTACCACTTGAGACACAGCTCTAGTCCTTCTGCTTCTTAGCATTTTTTTTTTTTTTGTTTCCACACAGGGTCTGGATCAGTCTCAGACCATGATCCTCCTACTTAGACCTCCTTAGTAACTAGGATTATAGGCATGATTCATCATGCCCAGCACTAAATTTTGAAATATTAAGCACAGAATGTGTGAGCCAAACAAAGCAAGCTTGGGTCTAATGCCAAAAAAGAAAAAAAGCTCTAAAAAATTAGCTGGAAGGTGTACTCAAATACATCTGCATTTTCCGGAGGTGGAGACTATGATTTGCATGTTGAGCAATTTCCCCAGGTTCCCAGGTGGATTTTGTACTCCATAGTTAATTTACCTTTTTTTTTTTTTTTTTTTTTTGTCAGTTGTGGGGCTTGAACTGGGCCTGGGCGCTGTCCCTCAGCTCTTCAGGTCAAGGCTAGCGCTCTACCACTTGAGCCACAGCGCCACCTCCAGCTTTTTCTGCATATGTGGTGCTGAGGGAGTGAACCTAGGGCCTCAGGCGTGCAAGGCAAGTGCTCTACCACTGAGCCACCTTCCCAGCCCTCTATGGTTCATTTTAAGCCACTCCATTATGGTATCTTCAAACTTTGATTTCCTTTTTTATTTTTCCTAATCTCTGGGGCTTGTTCTGGATCTTCTTTTCACTTGAGTCTAATGATCTTATCAGGTGAGCCACAGCATCACTTCTGGCCTTTTCTGAGTGGTTTATTGGAGATAAGAGTCTCATGGACTTTCCTGCCCAGACTGGCTTCGACAGTGGTCCTCAGTCCTCAGCTTCCCGAGTAGCTAGGATTGCAAGGGTGAGCAATGGGCACTTGGCTTTCACCTTCCTTTTTTTTTTTTTTTTTTGTTGGTCATGGGGCTTGAACTCTGGGCTTGGGCATTTGCTCAGCTCTTCAGCTCAAGGCAAGTGCTTTACCACTTGAGCCACAGCGCCACTTCCAGTTTTCTAGTGGTTCATTGGAGATAAGAGTCTCACGGACTTTCCTGCCAGGGCTGGCTTTGAACTGCAATCCTCAGATCTCAGCCTCCTGAGTAGCTAGGATGACAGGCGTGAGCCACTGGTGCCTGGCTTTGCCTTCCTTTTATAACTCCCATTGTCACCAGATGCCCTTCATACTTCCACAGTTTTCTAGCTCCTGTCCATCTATGGCAGTTCCAAAGTGGCCATGCCA